TGCGAAGTAGCATACAGAATTTATGTCTCGACGGTTGGTTATAGAAAAAATAAGGCATATATGTTTCTCTTATTTCTAAATATTTCGGGCATACAAGTAATACATGGTACTCATCTTCTTGCGATAAATTGCAGAATGGACATTGGATATCTATTGCATTTGAAGTTTTGGCAAATCGCGCAGCTTGGACTTTGAAGTTGTAAGCGTTACATCTAAATTTAGTAAGCGTACGCTTAAGTTGTGGTGATTTAATCTTTGAAAGGTAAATTTCTGTATTAATACAATATTTATATTCTGAATAAAAGTTGACACAGGTTGATGACGTTATTTCATTATACCAGTCCTGTTGATAAATGTCTTTGCATCTCTGCTTGAATAATTTGATGGAATATTGTGTATTACTTACATTTTGGGCGATCCATACATTTCCAAAGCCATGACTAAAAAGAATAGTTCTAACGAATGACAGATCGGTATGTTGTTTGTTCTCAACCATTATTAATCGGGATACTGTTTGTTCTCAACCATTACTGATCGGGATACTGTTTGTTCTAAAGCATTATTGATCGGGATACCGTTTGTTCTAAAGCATTACTGATCGGGCTACTGTTTGTTCTAAAGCATTATTGATCGGGATGTTTGTTCTAAACCATTACTGATCGGGCTACTGTTTGTTCTAAAGCATTATTGATCGGGATGTTGTTTGTTCTAAACCATTACTGATCGGGCTACTGTTTGTTCTAAATCATTACTGATCGGGCTTCTGTTTGTTCTAAATCATTACTGATCGGGATGTTGTTTGTTCTAAAGCATTACTGATCGGGATGTTGTTTGTTCTGAACCATTACTGATCGGGATATAGTTTGTTCTAAAGCATTACTGATCGGGCTTCTGTTTGTTCTAAATCATTACTGATCGGGATGTTGTTTGTTCTAAACCATTACTGATCGGGATATAGTTTGTTCTAAAGCATTACTGATCGGGATACAGACAGACAGACAGACATATATATTTGTATATGTGGCCCTGAGGCCAATAGTACATGTGTACAATAATAGCAGTGCATTTATGCGCAACCTGTAAATACGCGAGTTATAGGAACATCAATAAATCCATAAACACCCATTCACAATTTACATTTTTCTCTCAACATAAGTATGTGGTGCAACACAAGGGCTAGCTTAAACAACAAGTCAATGTTTTCTGTGCGAAGTAGCATACAGAATTTATGTCTCGACGGTTGGTTATAGAAAAATAAGGCATATATGTTTCTCTTATTTCTAAATATTTCGGGCATACAAGTAATACATGGTACTCATCTTCTTGCGATAAATTGCAGAATGGACATTGGATATCTATTGCATTTGAAGTTTTGGCAAATCGCGCCGCTTGGACTTTGAAGTTGTAAGCGTTACATCTAAATTTAGTAAGCGTACGCTTAAGTTGTGGTGATTTAATCTTTGAAAGGTAAATTTCTGTATTAATACAATATTTATATTCTGAATAAAAGTTGACACAGGTTGATGACGTTATTTCATTATACCAGTCCTGTTGATAAATGTCTTTGCATCTCTGCTTGAATAATTTGATGAAATATTGTGTATTACTTACATTTTGGGCGATCCATACATTTCCAAAGCCATGACTAAAAAGAATAGTTCTAACGAATGACGAATGACAGATCGGGATGTTGTTTGTTCTCAACCATTATTAATCGGGATACTGTTTGTTCTCAACCATTACTGATCGGGATACTGTTTGTTCTAAAGCATTATTGATCGGGATACCGTTTGTTCTAAAGCATTACTGATCGGGCTACTGTTTGTTCTAAAGCATTATTGATCGGGATGTTTGTTCTAAACCATTACTGATCGGGCTACTGTTTGTTCTAAAGCATTATTGATCGGGATGTTGTTTGTTCTAAACCATTACTGATCGGGCTACTGTTTGTTCTAAATCATTACTGATCGGGCTTCTGTTTGTTCTAAATCATTACTGATCGGGATGTTGTTTGTTCTAAAGCATTACTGATCGGGATGTTGTTTGTTCTGAACCATTACTGATCGGGATATAGTTTGTTCTAAAGCATTACTGATCGGGCTTCTGTTTGTTCTAAATCATTACTGATCGGGATGTTGTTTGTTCTAAACCATTACTGATCGGGATATAGTTTGTTCTAAAGCATTACTGATCGGGATACAGACAGACAGACAGACATATATATTTGTATATGTGGCCCTGAGGCCAATAGTACATGTGTACAATAATAGCAGTGCATTTATGCGCAACCTGTAAATACGCGAGTTATAGGAACATCAATAAATCCATAAACACCCATTCACAATTTACATTTTTCTCTCAACATAAGTATGTGGTGCAACACAAGGGCTAGCTTAAACAACAAGTCAATGTTTTCTGTGCGAAGTAGCATACAGAATTTATGTCTCGACGGTTGGTTATAGAAAAAATAAGGCATATATGTTTTCTTTATTTCTAAATATTTCGGGCATACAAGTAATACATGGTACTCATCTTCTTGCGATAAATTGCAGAATGGACATTGGATATCTATTGCATTTGAAGTTTTGGCAAATCGCGCCGCTTGGACTTTGAAGTTGTAAGCGTTACATCTAAATTTAGTAAGCGTGCGCTTAAGTGTGGTGATTTAATCTTTGAAAGGTAAATTTCTGTATTAATACAATATTTATATTCTGAATAAAAGTTGACACAGGTTGATGACGTTATTTCATTATACCAGTCCTGTTGATAAATGTCTTTGCATCTCTGCTTGAATAATTTGATGAAATATTGTGTATTACTTACATTTTGGGCGATCCATACATTTCCAAAGCCATGACTAAAAGAATAGTTCTAACGAATGACGAATGACAGATCGGGATGTTGTTTGTTCTCAACCATTATTAATCGGGATACTGTTTGTTCTCAACCATTACTGATCGGGATACTGTTTGTTCTAAAGCATTATTGATCGGGATACCGTTTGTTCTAAAGCATTACTGATCGGGCTACTGTTTGTTCTAAAGCATTATTGATCGGGATGTTTGTTCTAAACCATTACTGATCGGGCTACTGTTTGTTCTAAAGCATTATTGATCGGGATGTTGTTTGTTCTAAACCATTACTGATCGGGCTACTGTTTGTTCTAAATCATTACTGATCGGGCTTCTGTTTGTTCTAAATCATTACTGATCGGGATGTTGTTTGTTCTAAAGCATTACTGATCGGGATGTTGTTTGTTCTGAACCATTACTGATCGGGATATAGTTTGTTCTAAAGCATTACTGATCGGGCTTCTGTTTGTTCTAAATCATTACTGATCGGGATGTTGTTTGTTCTAAACCATTACTGATCGGGATATAGTTTGTTCTAAAGCATTACTGATCGGGATACAGACAGACAGACAGACATATATATTTGTATATGTGGCCCTGAGGCCAATAGTACATGTGTACAATAATAGCAGTGCATTTTATGCGCAACCTGTAAATACGCGAGTTATAGGAACATCAATAAATCCATAAACACCCATTCACAATTTACATTTTTTCTCTCAACATAAGTATGTGGTGCAACACAAGGGCTAGCTTAAACAACAAGTCAATGTTTTCTGTGCGAAGTAGCATACAGAATTTATGTCTCGACGGTTGGTTATAGAAAAATAAGGCATATATGTTTCTCTTATTTCTAAATATTTCGGGCATACAAGTAATACATGGTACTCATCTTCTTGCGATAAATTGCAGAATGGACATTGGATATCTATTGCATTTGAAGTTTTGGCAAATCAGCGCAGCTTGGACTTTGAAGTTGTAAGCGTTACATCTAAATTTAGTAAGCGTACGCTTAAGTTGTGGTGATTTAATCTTTGAAAGGTAAATTTCTGTATTAATACAATATTTATATTCTGAACTAAAGTTGACACAGGTTGATGACGTTATTTCATTATACCAGTCCTGTTGATAAATGTCTTTGCATCTCTGCTTGAATAATTTGATGAAATATTGTGTATTACTTACATTTTGGGCGATCCATACATTTCCAAAGCCATGACTAAAAAGAATAGTTCTAACGAATGACGAATGACTGATCGGGATAGTTTGTTCTAAAGCATTATTAATCGGGATGTTGTTTGTTCTCAACCATTACTGATCGGGATACTGTTTGTTCTAAAGCATTATTGATCGGGATACTGTTTGTTCTAAAGCATTTCTGATCGGGATACTGTTTGTTCTAAAGCATTACTGGTAGGGATACTGTTTGTTCTACAGCATTATTGATCGGGATACTGTTTGTTCTAAAGCATTATTGATCGGGATGTTGTTTGTTTTAAACCATTACTGATCGGGCTACTGTTTGTTCTAAAGCATTATTGATCGGGATGTTGTTTGTTCTAAATCATTACTGATCGGGATGTGGTTTGTTCTAAACCATTACTGATCGGGATACTGTTTGTTCTAAAGCATTACTGATCGGGATACTGTTCGTTCTAAACCATTACTGATCGGGCTACTGTTTATCCTAAACCATTACTGATCGGGATACTGTTTGTTCTAAACCATTACTGATGGTGATACTGTTTGTTCTAAAGCATTATTGATCGGCATGTTGTTTGTTCTAAAGCATTACTGATCGGGATATAGTTTGTTCTTAATCATTACTGATCGGGATACTGTTTGTTCTAAATCATTACTGATTGGGATGTTCTTTGTTCTAAACCATTACTGATCGGGATACTGTTTGTTCTAAATCATTACTGATTGGGATGTTCTTTGTTCTAAACCATTACTGATCGGGATACTGTTCGTTCTAAAGCATTATTGATCGGGATGTTGTTTGTTCTCAACCATTACTGATCGGGATACTGTATGTTCTTAAGCATTACTGATCGGGATATTGTTTGTTATAAAGCTCTACGAGTTTGTTATAAAGCATTACCGATCAGTACAGTGTTTGTTCTAAAGCATTACTGACCGTGATAGTTCAGGGGAAGGCGAAACTTTATTGAACAACTTTTAATTTTTTAATAAGGTGCTGCCGGTGCCTTTCGATGTTCACTGATCCTTTATGTAAACCACAGATTCGCCTTAATGATCCTTCATTGCCTTCATCATGTGTCATCATCATCATCACCATCGTCTTCGTCCTGGATTGGGGATAGCACCCACATAAACGGATTTTTCTTAAATACACAAACAAGGGCTACTTTTCGAAAATATTGCATCACTCTATAGGCATTTTAGTATGGAAACTTCTGTTGAAACGTTTCTTCATATGCTCTGTCAAAAGCTTCACTCTGCGCCACCGTGAACCAGTTCTTCCAGTCACCAGACTCCCCTGTAAATACAGAACCATACACTTAGTGAATAGTGATCCTTGAAATTAACATTCAAATGTTTCAGACTATTGAAATAAATATGAGAAATTATAAGTGAACACTGTAAAGTGAAAGTAAATTTAAAACAAATCTAGTAAGAAGTAAAATCGTTAAAGCTTTCATTTGAATCATTTTCACCCTTTTTATGGTTTGGACAACCAATAATATTTTATCATGCTCTCTTCGTCTGTCTGATCCATATTTATGACTATAACAACGAACTAAGGTTATAACAAACTAAAATTAGGGGTCCCTTTCAGATGGGCATTAATGTAGTCCCTTTGAGATGGGTATTAATGTAGTTACAACCACCGCTGAAAACGATGATAGCGTGAAATAACCCTCTTACACATTCATTAATTTTTTGTCCAAGTGGAACGTTATCAGTTACTGGGAATTAACAGGCCATCTTTACCTTTCCTGAAGTAGCCAGTCGAGCCCTTGTTCCACTTGTTGTGGAACGTTTGATCCTTTATATATTCAGATGCATGTTTCAGTTTGTCAAACCTGCATGCCTTGGCTATGTCCACATACACCTTGTCCTCTAGGGGTCGTCCTAGAAACTCCGCCAGCCTCCTTACTTGAGCCACATCGTCCTGTGTAGAGTAATGCAATAATAATTTCCTTTCTACATGCACAGTATTTGACGGTATGATTGCTGATTATGATATTCCATGTGTAAATAATAACCTTTTGAGACAAACCAGTGATTGATATTATGCGTGACATCCTTCGCCTCCAGGTTACGATGACCCACAATCAACAAGTCTGCCAAGCAGTTCCAGAAGGTCTCCAGCTAATGTGCTGAAGACCTATATCCTGACACGTCATGTACATGTGATTGCAATGCGTCACATGTCTGATACATGCTTGTAGTCAATGGAATACTACCGGGTCAGTCTGAGGTTATATACACGGTTACAGTATACATGACGATACGTGGCTTGGAGTGTATGGTGTCGCTGGTGTTTAGTCACTTGATGTATTTTTCAGTGGATCAAGCTATGTAATCTCATGCACGCGAGTGTTGCGCAAACATAAAAGTACTTTGCGTGATACGACAAGGTTGTATCTGGATATTAAATAAAAATGAAGGCAATTAAATTAAAAGGCAAAATGATGAAAAAGAAACAAATATGCAAGACAGAAGAGCCGTGCCCGAAGGATGCTGATTTGGAAAAAAAATACCCGCTGGAAAATGTTCAGTGTCCAAGTGTCAGTACGTACAATAAAACGTATGAAATATATCTGACCTTCTTTAAATCCTCGAAATCAACTTGACAGTATGGCACAGTCGGATGTAGTTCAGGGACCTTGCTCCATGCCAAGACATGACCCAGAATGGAGTCGAACGTGACTGGAAAATATCAAGATTATATACTCTAAATATAAGTAGGGGAACATTGAGTAAATCAATGTTGATATGATAATGAATGTTTTGAGAGTGCATCACCACTTGCACTCCTTATGACCATAGTTGTTTGTACAGTAATAACACTTGAAAGATGATTGGTGTATGACGTAAAATTTGCATATACATGTATACGATTTTCATTTTCAAACAATAAAACGGCTAGAAACAAATACTAACAACTGTGTGATGCAAGATGATTGTCAAAATTAATGCTCTACGGTGATTTATCGACCTTCTTGAAATCCCTCACAATCAAGAATCTCACCCCATGCATGTGTATTGGGCTACTACATTGTGCACGTGCATTCCATGCGTTGTGTTTAGGGGTGGTGCGTTCATAAGATATCTGTCTTTGATAAGTTTGTTGACGCTTATACTTCCTATCCTACCTGAAAGTTAAGGTCTCCCTACTGTTGTTGAAGAGTACAGTTCAAACCTGTGTAGTGGGTCATTTGGACAGAAATGTTAAAGGCAGGCTCTGAGCTTTTTGTTAGGATAGACATAAATGAATCATTTATCTGTATGGTAAATAGTGATTTGATTTGTTTTGAGAAAGAAGACAATAAGAAGAACAACTGTTGTGAAAACATTGATCAAAAGAAATATGTCATTTTTCAATTACCCTAATTTAGATATATGCAGAGGAAATGTGTGGACGTTTGGATGTAGCATATTGCATGACGATTTTAGGTTATATCATGTTCCTCCGTTGTTTACCACCGCGCTAAGCAATACTTAATTTGGTTGGGTGGATTCTTGTTAAACGCCACACTCAGCAATATTCCATCTGTATGACGGCGGTCTGTAAACCATCGGGTCTGGACCAGACAATCCAGTGATCAACAGCATGAACATCAATACGGAATTGAGATACGATGACATATGTCAACCACGTCAGCGAGCCTGACCACCCGATCCCGTCAGTCGCCTCTTACGACAAGCATGGGTTGCTGAAGATCAATTCTAATCCTGATATTCACGGGTACAGCAATACTAAACTATATAACGGTAAAGTTTCAACGTTCGTTCGATGACACCACTATCGTCTCCTGGTGCCTGTCTGTCTGATCCATATCCCCTCTTGCCACAAAAACAACAGTGGTTGAAATCAGCAATTACAACGGACTTGATCATTCATACCTGGACCAAGTGAAACTTACCAGTTCCCTTGATGTTAGCATGGACATACTGATCCCACGTGCCTGTGAACGCCTTAGGCTTTTCCTTATGCCACCAGTTTTGGTTAATCTGTTGCACATAGAAAGACACAATGGCGTCTTTTGGGTTCCTGTCTACGTGGATGACATGGCACCCCCGTGTCCACACCTCCTCTGGCAACTGTCTGGTGTAAGACGAAGTGAGAGAGGATTCAATGTAACATTAGCAGTACAATAAACTACGCTTGTAACGAACTGGCTGATATAACGAACTGTTCCTTCGGTCGCTACCACTTGCTAAATGTTTTAGTGTAAATTCGTAACAAAATACGGTTAGAACGAACTAACATCTGTTTGGTGAACTATTATCCCTCTCACTCTCACTCACTCACACACACACACACACACACACACACACACACACACACACACACACACACACACACACACACACACACACACACACACACACACACACACACACACACACACACACACACCACTCCCCACCCCCTACCAGTACTGTAGCTGGACGCTTGTTCTGACCCCACCAAATGCAATGTAGGGAGTGCGAGTAAAACTGCAATTACACAGTATTTTGTAAATACTACTATAACTGGATATTCCGGACCTTACCTAGGTAGGAGATGAGTGAAGAAGATCCTAGGGGACGGGATCTCATCCAGTTCCGCCTCACTTCTGAACTCAAGGAATGCATGGTTCTGCCAGTGTTTGGCATACTCTGCTTTGCCAGCCATAATCATGTTAGCTATCTCCCACACCCAGTGTGTACCTAGTGAACATCGGATATACCTCCGTGAACATTCTGTATATATACAGTGTGTACCTAGTGAACATCGGATACACCTCAGTGAACATTTCCCTGTATATGTACATCGTGTACCTAGTGAACATCGAATATACCTCCGTGAACATACATATACCTATATACTGTATATGTACATTGTGTACCTAGTAAACATCGTATACCTCCGTGAACATACAGTATATATACAGTGTGTACCTAGTGAACATAGCATATACCTCCGTGAACATGCAGTATATATACAGTGTGTACCTAGTGAACACAGCATATACCTCAGTGAACATACTGTATATGTACATCGTGTACCTAGTAAACATCGGATATACCTCCGTGAACATACTGTATATGTACATTGTGTACCTAGTGAACATCGGATATACCTCCGTGAACATGCGTTATGTACAGTGTGAACATCGGGTAAACCTGAGGTTCAGTTAACATATAACAGTTATTATTCTAATATTTGTATTTGTATATTAAACAGACAATACAGGTCCTGTGGAGAGGCTGTCTGACTACAGTGTATGCCTAGTGAACAGATAGGCTGGGTGTACGTTACTGACATTGAACACACTACGAGCATAGTGAACATGTATGTGTCTATGTAGGACAAGTAGGCTCTCCAAACACGTCTCCTCCGGGAGTGCAGCAAGCAATGCAGTTCTATGAACTGTAACGCTGATAGTACAGTACCTGTTTTGGGATAGGACGTAACATATATGTCGTCCTCACGTACACGACGAGACTTCATGGTGATGACATGAGGCAGGCTTAGTTTCGGAGTGATTCGTCCCTCGTGCATAAATAGCGGCATATCAAAGCCACATGTCATTGCCTCCTCCGCCCTGCTAGCCATGTTGTAACTCGGTCGTCACTCTCCAGCGGCAAAGGAAGGACAGAGTCGGGTTTACACACACTAGAATACCTGAGTAACGGAGTTGCTTGTTGACCTGACCTCGCCTGGATAGTTTCCATTAAAGTGGGTCAGTGGGTCAAGTCATGATGGAAAAGGCCACTCAGTGACCCTCCTTTATAGTGTAAGTGACCATCCATGGATAGTATCACATGCAGTATCCAGTATATCCAGTACATACTCTAAACGGCCTGCCACGAGCAGCGTGTGCCAGGCGAAATCCCGGCTGGGTCGAAGCACACTTAGCCCCCTCATAGATACGAGGGTGGGGTGTCAGAGGTCACAGTCAGGCTTCAGGCTTGCACTTCTTGGACCGGCGAGCCGGACTTGTGTTGTCAGTTTGGGAAATATCCGCTAACAACAACCAACAGCAGAAACTACATAGTAATATGCAGCATAAACTACGGCGGATAATAGGTTCAACTGTATACCAAGGGGGGCATTTATAAGCCAGTATAGTCTGTTTGCTAAGTGCGGCCCTTTGGAAGGAGAAACACCTGTGGTTCAAATATATAGTATTACAAAATTGATACAAATTAATGCATAGGAATTACAATGGAAGACCCAAATAGAATGGCAGTACACATTCAATGCCTGTCCACATACAGAGGCATATATACATGTATATATAAGCAGTGATTATACCAATAAGGACAGTGATGAGCACTGGTAGCAGCAACGGTGTCGTCCCACGAGGCCTAAAATTACTCAGACCCCTAGTGTACAGTACAGAACCCTGTGCACTTAAAAGAACCCACGAATCCGTTGGTATTTGACCAGATGGTGGCCACATGAATACGGGCAATCACCTAGTTGCATGTACAGCAACGTGCAGTGAACATTGACAAAGTACTGTGATTATGTGTCCCAGTCCACCCAGCTGTGAAAGGGTACCTCGTGAGGATGGGAAAGCCACAATAACTCGGTAGCTGCAAGAGTTGTATACTCCCCAGGGAGTTGAGATTGATAATGCGATGTGCCGTTGAGATTGACATCCAATGATCGAGGGAAAAGTACCAGCGCCTTGAGCATGCACTAGTGCGTGGATATGTGCGCTATATAAATATCCTATAATTATAAATAAAATAAAATTATTCAGTTAGGTAGGTACAGTTCATTAGGCTATGTGCCTATATGCCTCACTGGTTTTATGGGATTACGGTGGATTATTGCTGGACTGGTCCATTATTGACCACAGAAGGGTGAATCATAAGAAACAACAAAAAGCAAATATGATTGTAAAATATTTATTTTAACAGTGATTTATCACATCTGTATCACTGGTTTTATTGGATAAGGGTGGATTGACCACAGGAATCACAACAACATATTATCATGTATTATGTTATCACAACAAAATCTGTATCATTTAGCATATTATCACTGGTGACAAAGTGATATTGTTTATGTTTATTGTTATTCACTGTTCCCAAACACCAAGTCAGTGGGATACTGAGTCTGTGCACTCCAGGAGAGTGATGGTGCCAGTGAGTAGCCTGGTCTTGGCTCGCAGCAAGCCCTGGTCAACTGCTACATAGCGACGTCTCCTTGCTGGTTCACGTGGGTGACCTTTCTACTGTACCTTCTCACTTCGGTCCTGGACTGCTCACGCTTGATCAGCTTCACAAAGTCAAATATGTCTGATCTATAGCAAGTTTCGTCCTTCTCATGTTAGTTGGAGAAGGAAACCGATTAATATCCACTTCATGTAAATACTCCTCCAGTAATAATAGATCTAATCTGATTAAGATTAACAGTAAGTGCTTTCATCTATCCACCTTAATGTTTTCACAGTAGACAAGTCTCATTACTAAACTAACCCTAACAGAGTGACCCCTGTCCACTGATCAGTGACCTCTCCCACTCTTGTTTCACGCCCCCAAAACCTAATTAATCGCGGACTGTAACCGCAGCAACAGTGGTCAACTTTCCTAAGTCCAGGCTGGGAATACACGGTGGGAAAATGATGTTCACGCACTGTGAGACGACGCCGCCGACGATTATGCTGCTGTTGCTACTGCTGCTGATGTTTTACGTGCGCGTTCGTGCATGGGGCGTATTTCTCATACTTACCCGCAAGTCAAGTTTGTGTTTGATCGAAAGAGGGGCGATTATCGCAGAAAAGGGGGAAGCCTGAGAGAGTCGTTAGAGTTGAATATTTTGACTTCCGAAATTTGCCAGAAGTGGTGGGAGGGAGCGGTATTAAGGGTTGGTTTGGTTTGGTTTGTATTTGTACGTTATCATATTGGTGCTAGTGGATTATGTGTGATTATATGTGGAACGGAAATACGCTATTGAACAGAAAATACCTATGGCTTTAAAGGTTTGGTATTATTTAGAGGGATGAGGAGTGTGTGTCTGTAGTGTTAGGTGTGTCTTAGTGTCCAGTGAACTCTGGGGCACCATTCCCTGTTGTTTGTAGTGTAAGGTGTATCTTAGTGTCCAGTGAACTCCTTAGCACCATTCTGTGCTGTTTGTAGTGTTAGGTGTGTCTTAGTGTCCAGTGAACTCCTCTTCACCATTCTGTGCTGTTTGTAGTGTTAGGTGTGTGTTAGTGTCCAGTGAACTCCTTATCACCATTCTGTGTTGTTTGTAGTGTTAGGTGTGTCTTAGTGTCCAGTGAACTCTTGAGCACCATTCTGTGTTGTTTGTAGTGTTAGGTGTGTCTTAGTGTCCAGTGAACTCTTGAACAACATTCTGTGCTGTTTGTAGTGTTAGGTGTGTCTTAGTATCCAGTGAACTCTTCAACACCATTCTGTGTTGTTTGTAGTGTTAGGTGTGTCTTAGTGTCCAGTGAACCCTTGAGCACCATTCTGTGCTGTTTGTAGTGTTAGGTGTGTCTTAGTGTCCACTGAACTCTTGAAGAACATTCTGTGTTGTTTGTAGTGTTAGGTGTGTCTTAGTGTCAAGTGAACTCTTGAACAACATTCTGTGTTGTTTGTAGTGTTAAGTGTGTCTCAGTGTCCAGTCAACTCTTGAGCACCATTCTGTGTTGTTTGTAGTGTTAGGTGTGTCTTAGTGTCCAGTGAACTCCTTAGCACGACTCTGTGCTGTTTGTAGTGTTAGGTGTGTCTAAGTGTCCAGTGAACTCTTGAACAACATTCTGTGCTGTTTGTAGTGTTAGGTGTGTCTTAGTATCCAGTGAACTCTTCAACACCATTCTGTGTTGTTTGTAGTGTTAGGTGTGTCTTAGTGTCCAGTGAACCCTTGAGCACCATTCTGTGCTGTTTGTAGTGTTAGGTGTGTCTTAGTGTCCAGTGAACTCTTGAGCACCATTCTGTGTTTTTTGTAGTGTTAGGTGTGTCTTAGTGTCCGGTGAACCCTTGAGCACCATTCTGTGTTGTTTGTAGTGTTAGGTGTGTCTTAGTGTCCAGTGAACTCCTTAGCACGATTCTGTGATGTTTGTAGTGTTAGGTGTGTCTTAGTGTCCAGTGAACCCCTGAGCACCATTCTGTGTTGTTTGTAGTGTTAGATGTGTCTTAGTGTCCAGTGAACTCCTCTTCACCATTCTGTGCTGTTTGTAGTGTTAGGTGTGTCTTAGTGTCCAGTGAACCCTTGAGCACCATTCTGTGTTGTTTGTAGTGTTAGGTGTGTCTTAGTGTCCAGTGAACTCCTTATCACCATTCTGTGTTGTTTGTAGTGTTAGGTGTGTGTTAGTGTCCAGTGAACTCCTTAGCACGATTCTGTGTTGTTTGTAGTGTTAGGTGTGTCTTAGTGTCCAGTGAACTCCTTATCACCATTCTGTGTTGTTTGTAGTGTTAGGTGTGTCTTAGTGTCCAGTGAACCCTTGAGCACCATTCTGTGTTGTTTGTAGTGTTAGGTGTGTCTTAGTGTCCAGTGAACTCTTGAACACCATTCCCTGCTGTTTGTAGTGTTAGGTGTGTCTTAGTGTCCACTGAACTCTTGAGCACCACTTTGTGTTCTTTGTAGTGTTAAGTGTGTCTTAGTGTCCAGTGAACTCTTGAGCACCATTCTGTGTTGTTTGTAGTGTTAGGTGTGTGTTAGTGTCCAGTGAACTCCTTAGCACGATTCTGTGTTGTTTGTAGTGTTAGGTGTGTGTTAGTGTCCAGTGAACTCCTTAGCACCATTCTGTGTTGTTTGTAGTGTTAGGAGTATCTTAGTGTCCAGTGAACCCTTGAGCACCATTCTGTGATGTTTGTAGTGTTAGGTGTGTCTTAGATTAGATTTTTCATTTAGAATTTGAATTTTGGTAGTTACCTGAGCACTTTTAGAATTTTTTTTTATATATGTTCTGTTTCGTTTTTAGATAATGGTATGCTGTGCATATTGATTATTTGTCTTGGAGTGAGTTTGCCTCGTGTGGTGTGATGTGTGGGTGCCGAAACTCAGTCTAAATATAGTACCTAGCACGCCATTACCCTCCACTGAATCAATGCAATTAGGACGTTGTTTTAGACGCATGTAACTGCTATTATATATATATGTATATCAAATGACGCTGCTCGGGGAATTGCTTGTTCGAAATCATTGATGCTAGAGGCATAATATTTGCTCTAGGCCATGGTTGCATAGTTTATTTTTTTGCTCTAAGCTGTTGTCGCTTGTAATATTTGTATTCTAATCCTTTATGAGTCTAGGTCATATTTGTTTTAAACATTTGCTGTTCAACGTATTATTTTGTATTTGTCGGCTTTTCGAAAGCATTTGATTTGGTAAATAGATTGAAATTATGGTTAGTTTTGCAACAGAAAGGATTAACACCCAAGATGTTAGGTTGCATCAAATCCATCTATAGTTGTGTTAAATCTTGCGTTAAAGTCAATAATTCTTTTTCACAGTTGTTCGACTGTAATATTGGAGTTCGTCAAGGATGTGTCTTGAGTCTCCATGAGTTTTTGTTCTCCATTTTTATAAACGATTTAGCTGATAATATTGAATCATTGTGTTATCCGGGCATACAGTTACATCCAGAATTAACTCAGTTGTTTCTCCTTCTATTTGCTGATGATGTCACTCTATTCTCTGACACCATCTATGGGCTACAAAAACGTATTAATGTCCTTGAACAGCATTGCAAGGAATACAAGCTATATGTCAACTTAGATAAATCTAAAATTGTTGTGTTTAGAAATGGTAGCATCCTTACTAAGCACGAAAAATGGTATCTTGGAGGTAACTTAATTGAGTGCCTTTCTTCATATAGATATTTGGGAATAGTATTTTCACAAACATTGTCATGGCATAAACATTTTGAGAGCTCTATTTTACA